ATTATTATTTTTTTTCATCTGTTACGGGATGTGCATTTTTGATTTTGTGCCTGGTATGCTAAAGACTGTTTGGCTGTTGCTTGAATTTTTGCTCTCCCCACCTACCTAATTTGAGTTTTATAAAACTTTTAGTTAACTTTACCCTTTGTCTTGTGCTAATCATAGTGTTACAGTTTTGTTTTGTTTTGAGCCAGCAGGTTGTAACAAAATGGGGGCTCGTCCGAGATTGCTCCTAGGACAGAAGGACTGGCTTTGCTAGTTTTCCCTAGACTTTGAATGTGTTTGGTGTGTTTTCTTTTACTGCATTGGTGGAATGTTGTGATCTTGATCAACTAATTGTTAGGCTGATCTGTCCTCCTTTATCATGTGAACAACTAGTTTTGAATGTCACCAGCAAATTGGTTGATCCACTATGAAAAGGTGCTATTTACAAGACTGAGTTTGTTGCAACTCTTCAGACTGAAAGAGTCTTTTGGAAGAAAGATAAAACGTTTCAACAAGAAAAATATGTCCAGAGTACCTGACTTAACGTTGTTAGGTCACTCTTGATAAGTTCTGCCAATATAAAGTCATGGAATTTTGCATGTGTAACGCTCCTGCCACCTTTCAGCAACTGGATAACCAGGTCCTGGAGGAAGTTACAGGTTGTGAGGCCAACCTAGATGACATGTTCATCTACAATGACAGTTGGAAACAGCAGGTTTCTCAACTGGAAGAAGCGTTCTGACGACTTGGAGCAGCAAAACTGACCCTGAACCTCAAAGTGGTATTTGGACATGCAACTGTCACATATTTGGGTAAAATCGTTGTTTGTGGCGTTGTCAATCCAGTTGAAGCTAAAGTGGAAGCGATTTTGAACTTTGCTGCTCTATCATCCCAGCGAGAACTTACAAGGTGGGATGGTGGTTTATTATAGAAGTTTCTGTTGCAACTTTGCCACCATTGCAGCTCCTTTAACAAACTTGTTAAGCCCAAAAGTGCCTTTTATATGGACAGAGAAATGTGTTGTTGCTTTTGAATATTTGAAAGCTCTGTTAAGCAATGCACCTGTTAGTTTTGCACTCAGTTTTGATAAACTATTCAAACTAGCTGTGGATGCTAGTGATGTGGGGGCTGGGGCTGTTGTATTGCAGGATGGCGAGGATGGCGTGGAACATCCTCTGTGCTATATTTCAAGAAATTTTGATATTCACCAAAAGTGGTGTTCTATCGAAAAGGAAGCCTTAGCACTCATCCTTGCTTTAAAGCATTTTAATGTTAGTTTCAGGTGCTCCGCTGTTGGTTTACACAGATCATAACCCACTTGCAGCATGAGAGGCATCAACCAGCAGCTGCTGCAATGGAGTTTATTTCTCGAAGGGTGTGACCTGAAATTCTGCCACATCCACAGTCGAGACAATGTCCTGGCAGAGGCCCTTTCAAGAACTTAGTGTACAGTAGTTATGGTTTTAGTTGCTTAGAGCAACACTTTTAAGGGTGGGGATGTTACGGGATGTGTATTTTTGATTTTGTTTTCAGGTAGGAACTTTTCCTGTAATCACTACAATCACCCTCAGGTGTGAGCAGCCTATTCGAGTGAGGCACACCTGATCCTCAGGGCTGGTTCTCTCCCTTTGCTTACCTGACATGCTGCAGACTGTTTGGCTGTGGCTTGGCTTTTTGCTCTCCCCACCCATCTATTTTTTGAGTTTAATAAAACTTTTAGTTAACTCTACCTTTTGTCTTATGATCCTCATTGTATTGCAGCCTTTTTGAGCCTGTGGGTTGTAACACATTGAGTAAACTGTCTCGCCTCGACTTGTGCCTGAATTTTGATGGAAATTCTGAAAAACTTAAGGATAAAATACACTAAAATAATAGTGTAAATAATCCAAAATATTGACAGAATGATAAGAAATGATAGCTAATAAGAAAAGTTAAATATATGGTAAACTTTGAGGTTACAGTCACTGGAAGAAATGTCTTTCTGTTTTTAACAGGTAGGCGATCACCTGCTGAAATAAACTGCATTTACATTTGTCAAAGAAGGTATGCACTGACAAAAAAAAAGTTTTTTCTTTCATGCAATATATGGCTCCATGTGCATGTTTTTGCCTAATTAGATGGTCAACAACCTGCACAATTCCATTCACATAGCCTCAATATTTTGACTGAACTTGTAGAAAATTTGTTAGCTCAACTCAAGAGATGTGTTTTCTTTTATTAATCTTTTTTTTTTTCAGAGAACGACAAATTTTTACCCTCATTGTATGCTGCTGCTGTCAAGCTAATGCAAGGTGTAAATGTTATGTAACGCAATAATAATTTGCAAAGCAGGCAAATTTGTGTGTGTGTGGGTGGGGGAGGGGATTTCAAATAGCAGCACACTTCATGTCAAGTCAGCATTGTCACATTGTTTTACAATCATGGTGTAATTATCATGGTGTCAGTAAAGTGTTGCCAAAACTTCTACCAAGCTGTGCTTAGAGAGCAGGAATACTGGGAAAGGCAACCATCTGGGATTTGTTTCCAGCTCTGCAATCGTAGCAACTCTTCCACTCCCTTACTTTGTTAAACAAATGCCTCTAAAATCATCAGTCAGGACTAAAACTGATCTTTGTAGCTAACCAGCACCGAAAAATATACCCAGTATATGGAGAACGTTGGATGATCACACAGTTAAAACACCCATTTTGTTAAAGAATATTATAAAATGTGGTTAGTTCAAAAAAGAAAAGAAAATGCAAAACTTCTTATGTAGACTGTCCCTCCATTGTTTTACCTCTGTGGTTTTTAAACTTTTCATGTTCCACCCTGCACTGAAGGGAGACAAACGTACAAGCCCTCTCTCAGCTCATCCAAACAAGTAAATTTCAACAATAAAAATATACATTTCAAAATCTTTTTTTTTTTTTTTTTTTGGGGGGGTGGGGGGGGGGGGGCGGCTTTTG